CCCTCGCGACCCGACCCCAAATAAGCGGTAGAAAATGGGATGGATGGATGGATGAAGTTTCGTTTAACCTTGAGACAACCTTTAGACAACATAAACCTGCTGACTTCATGAGCTGGAAAGGCAAATTGAGATACATTTCTATTGCTACGCACATTTTATGACCATTGGTCAGCATTAAATTCTTAATCAGCATGGACTACATAATACTGCACGGGCCAAGAAGGATGCACAACCTCATGCATGAACATGTCATCATCCTGACCGAACTTGTCCAGCTGCAGCTCCACAAAGCGACACAGAGGCATCTTTCTTCGTGCTAAACGCGCCTTTTCCTGTCACTGAGCCCCACGGAGCAATGGGAACCAAGGTGATCGCTTTACCACAGAGGATGGATTGAGTGGAGATGAGTGGCCTCTGTCACCCATGGCCCATTCCCAACGCTGCGGGACAGGAAGTGGCCAGGGATGCTGGGATGGACACAAGTCCTCCACTGTTTGTCTCCATCAAACATCTATCAGATAGTCCATTCAAATGCCGGAGCTGCTGACTTGACTGCTGTGCGGGCTCACACTTTTTTTTTTTTTTTTTTTTTTTTTTTTTTTTTTTTTTGTGGCGTGGCATTCGGGTAGTGAGCGTGAGACTCACTACCTTGCCAATCAAGGCACGCAACCTGACAATTCACGGGTTGACTAGATTTACAGAACAAGTGGTTTTAATTTTTTCCCCTCGTGTGCTCCTGTTTGCTGAATGTCAGCAAATGTCATCAGAATCAGGCCTCAATGACAATCGACACAAATGTGACTTGGGATGCCCGCGAAAATGACTCCAGGTTAAGCAAACAGATTGGATGCACATTGTCATTGCGACACAGACATCAGCAACTGATGTCACACACACACGTGAATGCAAACAAGACACCCACAGCAAAGGGCAGAAAGGTAAGAGAGTCCGAAGCTATTAGCTAAATGTCTATCTTCAAAAACACGAACCAAGTGGAGCAAAATAAAGTACACCCAGTCAAGTTCATGTCGAGAAATACGAGTGCAATCGCTAAATGGGCCTTTTGACAGCTGCTGGAACTTGAGTGGGCCTGTAAATGATGGCGATATGGACAGAAACGTCAAGGAGAAACATCTGTATAAACTACAACAAAAGTAGGCCACTGGCACATCAACAGAAGCAAGCATGACTTGGGGACCAACTTTACGTGGTGTCGGGCAAAACGGAGAGTGCCCGACTGATCACAGCTACGCAAAGAGTTTTTTTTTCCTCTCTCTACTTCTACCCAACACATATCTGCTCAACAACAGCAACAATCAACACAAGCAAGTTTGAGTAGTTGGGCGAGGGGTGAACAGGTGGTGTTGGTGTTTTCATGACCAGTTACTAATTAGGACCAAAACTGGAACATCATTTGTTCACTATCTGCCACATAAAAAATTATGGGGGCCCCCCAATCGACTACGGCAGTGTTTTTCAACCCCTGTGCCGCGGCACACCGGTGTGCCGCAAGACATTCTCAGGCGTGCCGACGGAAAATATCCAATTTTTATGCCTGTGTGGTCTATCGCACAGAAAGTAGAAGTCCAAGATGGCGCCCGAGTAGGCAGCCATCTGCAAGTGCTCTCATGAGCCTTGCTTTTTTTGTTGTTTTTCTGTTTGTTTTGTCACTTTGTGTTTGTTGTTACGTCGTGTGGACCTGATGTGGACTGTTTTCAGCATTTTTTGGCCACGACATTCATCAAGGAGGAGACTCGGTGCTTGGTGGTTTTGCCTTCTCGGCAGCATGGGTATGCCAGCACTGTTTTTGATTGGGAGGAATGTCGGCGCCATTTGACTGTCGTTGCTGGACAGCTCCGGGGGCGCTTGTGTCTTGCGCCTGTAATGGGCAGCATTTTCACAGCCCCGCTTTGTTCACAGTACACCGCAGATCTTATGGGTAAACACAAAAAGGTACTATTATATAGACCGATAGATACAGTACAAATACAGCATATCTATCTATGTACCCCACCTCCCCAAAAAAAAAAAAAAGAATATTGTGTTAAGAGCCCATGTCTGTTTAGAGAGGTCTGCCTGCTCTCCTCTGAAAAAACAAGCTCCCTCCAGGTTATAACATGAGAAACAAATACAATATGTCCTCCGAACTCCGTGCCAATTACTCCTCATTTGACCGAAAGGAAAGTGGGACACCGGCGGGATCAAATGATGATCTCAGCAAGCCGTCGGCTAAAGTACACTCACTTCACAACTATGAAATCCACAGGGGGAATGATCACAAAGTAGTCCCGCTTTAAACTGACCTTGACTTGAACGCATTTCATGTTTCACATTTCACATCTGCTCCCTTTCATGTGTACATACTCCACCATTGCGCTCCCATGTTACACTTCCGAAGAAATAGACAACAATGCTATCACGGGCCGAAATTACGTTTCATATAAAATATCTTAAAATATCTTGTTATTATGAGATGAATACCAGCGTGCTTCCTGATTTTACGTTCCGTGAGGACGGTGTGTGCAATGTTTTGTGATGCGACTTCGCTCGACATGAGAATAAGTCTTTGCCCGGCCAACCCAAAATGAACCCATTTCCGCCTCTCGGAGTAAGTGCACAAGGACAATTTTGAAAGTGGAAGTGACTTGTCCTGTAGCCGCAGGGCCCGGATGGCTGTGGAAACAAGTGGCACATTGATGCCAGCCAGACCCAGTGTATCACCCTGACAGGCAGGCCGAGGAACAAAAGGCTCCAGTCCAAAGCCATGCTGCCAATTAGCAGGAATTTCAGTCCTGAGAGCCCCTTCCCACCGATCTCCATTCGAGGCTTTTCACTGCATGGCATTCATTGAATTCCAAGGAGCATTAGGAAAGAGCAACATGTGCACAATGAAGCATCTAACAGTACATTGAGAAACGCTCAACACGACATTTTAGGACATGTGTTTGCCTGTTGCCAAAAATCCCTAATTCTGTGTAGAAAACACAAAAATAAATACTGACATAATCTGTGGAGGATTAGTCTAATGCACTACTGAAACGCAGATGGACCGGTGCTTCCATGATGATTGAAAATGTATTGACACTCCTCTGATGTGTCACTGGAAAAAAAGGAAAAAAAAAGGATCACATTTGCAAGAGGATTATTGAGGGAAAAACACGTTTTCAGGGCGGGTGGACGTCCGAAAGCTTTCGAATGCGTTCCGAAGTCGCTAAACCAGGTTGGCTCATCGAGGATGTGCACGCCCACCGCCGCGGCCATCCTTCCACAAATTACAGGGCGCGCGATTACACAAAGGACGTCTGGGCAAACTTTGTTGTTTCCATGAGCGCCACATTAAAGGCAATATTTCGCCCTTGGAGTCACACTCCATGGAAGACATTAATCGTGGCTGCATGACAACTGTGTTTGAACAGTTTGAGGAAGGAAAAATGGACTCGGAATGACTTAAAGCAGCCTCTCCCAAAACTAAAGGGCATGAAACTAACTGAAAAAAAAAAACAAAAAAAACAAGGTTTTGGCGCATCTACAAGAAGGGAGAATAGAGTTGCTCCTCTGAAGATTTTAGTATGAATGGGAAAATATGTTGGAGTGTGACTGTGGGATTTTTTTCTGATGTCAGAGGTCACCAGTGTGAGAGTTGAGAGGGGAAAATATGTTTGATGGGCTTGTTCCTGAACATCAAAGTCAAGCAAGCATGAATTGGCGGACCTTGTCTTGTGAAATGGAAACACAAAAGGGCTTTCCCTAAACCGTTCCCACAAAGTTGTCCAAAATTTCCCAAAATTAAAAGGGATTTTAGACACTCTTGAAGGTTCTAATTTTGCACTTTGAAATCGAATAATTTACTCTTTGGGTCACATCAGTATATTTTATCTTGAGGAACTAAAATAGACTTGAACATAAATTTGATGTGTCCCATAATAAATAATATAACATTAGTGCTATCTTCCTACAAAGTATGTGCAAAGCAAAGAAACTCAATAAAAACTTCGGAACCTCTAAAACCGGAGACAGATTTTTTTTTACAGGACGCTAGCCCTTCATTTTTTTCCTCTGAATTTGGGACCTTTTTGTTTTGCCTCAATGAAAAATATGTAAATAAAAATAATCCTATTATAGGATGAAACTGCTTGCATCACTTAACTAATTGTGTACATTGTTCTCTTAAAATGGTGTTGAGGCTGCTCCTTCTTTTGGAATAAGTGTTCCAAAAAAAGTCCCCAAAAGCCAAAGATTAAGCAAAAGATGTGCATCGCTAATTTTGTAGCTTCCGAAGATTAGACTAATTTTAATTTCATCAGGGTATTTCATTTAAGCGATTCCACAGCACATTATAAAACTGAGGAGATGATTTACTGTGTGTGGCTGTTCTTCAGCCCAATGGTAAGAAAACTAATTGTGTACTTGAACGTTTTTTCAGGACACGGGTCACTATTTCATTATTATTATTATTATAAGTGAAGCGTGTGCAGTTTTCCAGTATTTCAAAGTCTACTTGTTAATGGAGTACGGCGTCAGACTCAAAATTATCAAAGATAATCATAAATACAGGGGATCATAGGTTTTTCTCCGTTCCCTCGGCTGAGATGTAACGCAAAATGTGTGCATTCCGTCGGAAGGTGCTTAACTTGTCACTAACCTAGGTGCTTAACTTGTCACTAACCTAAGATTAATCGGTAGTCATGTCATAATTAAAGTAATGCATGACAAACACCGTCACATGGAAAACCAGTAAGTCCGGCAATAACTGAGCGTGCCCTCCAATGATGCGTGATGACGTTTTAATTACGTAACCGTGAAATGTAGCTCAACCGAGTACCCACTACGAGGATCCAGTGTGTGGTTTGAGAATTAAAACGCAACACGAGAGAAATAATATACAGTAATCCCTATTTTTGCTAACTGGTAATTAAGTGTAGCTAGTTGGATCCACTTTTTTTTTTTTTGACGCAGTGACTATCTGGCGCCAGTAAGAACACAAGCGCAAGTTTACTCACCCAACCCACTCGTGGAGGTATGAGGTGGTCTCTTCTGGTTCCAGTCACGTCTTCAAGTCAAAACATCAATGTGCACGTAGGAGAGCGAGCAAAAGAGAGACCCAAAACGCCCTAGCTCCTCAAATGTAGCTTATTTTTGGAGTGGCTGAGTGGATGGGGGACGAACAACAGCCACACTCCGTCCGTGCCACGATTGAAAGTCGACGAGGGGACGCCGGTGAGCCGAGGTCATACCGCAGGGAAGCTCCCACTCGGCGCAAACATTTTTCACGCAGAAAAAAAAAAGAAAAACACGTCCCTCACAAGAAGCGTTGCCTTCATGCAGAGACACCTCCGTGTGAGCCCAAGAAGAGCCAGTTGGGTTCAAAACACCGGGATGTGACAGAGCTTGCAGGGTAGGGGGCGTGGCCTTAACAGACTGGCGAGCATTGATTGGTGGAAACTCTTATACATAAATTAACCCCTCATTGCGTTTAATGACGGCTGTGGACAGTCAGGGGGACCCCATCCACCTGCAAAGCCAAAATGACGACAATGGAAAAGTTTTTTTGTTGTTATTCTCATGGGACAACAGTAGTTTTCAATAATTACTTTACTTTTACGTATTACTATTTCAAATGTCATTTTAGGAATAACTGGTTATAATAAAAACAAAGGTTAAATGCAGTTAACATTTCCTCATGAGTGGGTGAACAAGTATTTGTCAAGTTTTAATAATACTGTCTCGTACAATGATGTAATATTGTACAACACTGCCATCTCCTGTTCAGTAGCAGTACACCTAATCAAAATCTCACTTAAATGTGAAATTCTCCATCCATCCATCCATTTTCAACACCGCTTATCCTGAACAGGGCCGCGGGGAGCCAGCCTATCTCAGCTAACTTCGGGCGGAAGGTAGACAACACCCTGAACTGGTCGCCAGACAGTCGCAGGCTGTAAACGACCATTCACACACCCACATGCACACCGCCACTGAGTTGGAACCGATCCCACATAGCCCGCACACAAATACCACTACACCATCAGCGACTCTTCCGAAATTCTCCCGGGACATAATAGTCAGCATGGTCCCTAAGTATGATGCTGGTACAGTTTATGTGTTAATTTTTCTTTTTGTATTTTCAAATCTGCCTCACTGTTCTGAAGTTCAGCATTCACATCTTAGCTTCGGCCTTCCTTTGTGAAGTTTTTATCTCGTCAGCCTCTTAAAATAATGGTCTCAGTCAAATTATGACAAAGTTGATTTTTTTGCCTTAAACATCTCTTCAACTGGCTACCTCTTTTAAAACGGGCATTAGCCTTAGTTAAACAGATCATTCAATTCTAGGCCTGAAATGAAATTATTAATACATAAAAGATAATCAGAATGTGGTTCAGTTTTTCATGTTTTCTGAAAAAAAATGACGCAGGCAATTATTTGAAGGTGACGGTATTCTAATGCTTGAATGGGATTTCTACAGGTTCTCGGTCTTGCTCTCGCGTCCCGAAAACATACATGTTCCTTGAAGACTCTAAATCAGGGGTCACCAACATGGTGCAAGGGCTACATTCGTAGTGCGTGAGCCAGTTCTAGAATGTTTGGAATGAACGTTCACTTCCCTCAAAGACCCCTGTTCACATGAATGAAAAGAATGGGGGGAAAAAGGACAGTGCAAAAGAAGTTGAAAATCCACTTTAAGCCGACAGTCGGAAAGAGTGATGTACAACAATGGCAACAATAACGATAACAACAGTAATCTGCAAAATGACCATCACTTGTGAAAAATTGCATATGAATCCTCAAGTAGCAGAGGAACGATTGTTACTATTTCATATTGGTAAGCTGTTACAATTGTACGCCTAGACCTGCATCAAATGCATTTCAATTCATGAGCTGTGTCAAAAGGGGCTGTCTTTACAAAAATACCACATTTACACAAACAGCGACCTGAACTGTAACAGATTCCATTACCCGGAGAGATGAACACATAAATATCAAACCTCAAACAGCCACCTCAAGCTTCAACTCAGGAAAATGACAGGGCATATTTAAAGACAAATAAATTAACACCTCACCACTACTGTAGTAAATAAATACAGAAATAAATGCTGAACTTTGATATTTTTGACAGCTCTTGTATTCAATCTCATAGATGTCAGGCCTCATTGGGGAGTTTTACCTTTATTTTCCAAATGAGTGTTGCATGATCATGAAACTAGAAACGTACAACCCGTGTGAAGCCTAGAGCCATAATTGAAGGTAAATGATACTTCATCCACATATAAATTCTTTCTTCTTTCCACGTTTGTCCACACGTTCGATGCTACACGGAAGGGCTGCATCTCTGGGAAGACCTCTTGTCCATTTTGTCCATGCGTGTTAAGGCTTTTAGTCATCCAAGTCCCGGGTGTCGGACGGCCCGATGGGGAAGAGCATGTCGCTCTCCAGGGAGAGATCGCTCCCCAGGTCAGTCATATGACCGTGCAGCATGAAGTGCGTCCTCCTCTGCAGGATCCTCTGCTGCTCCTGCTTGAGCTCCACGTAGGATCGTGAGAAGGTGTGGAAGATGGAGGTGACGGGGAAAGCCATCAGGAGGATGCCACTCAGGATGCTGCTCAGGGCAACCACCTGACCCGGAATGCTGCGTGGCACCATGTCGCCGTAGCCCACCGTTGTCATGGTGATGACCGCCCACCAGTAGGTGGCGGGGATGCTGGTGAACTCCTGCGTAGCCGCCACTTCGTTCTCGATCAGGTAGAGCAGCGGGGAGTAGAGGGCGATGGCCACACACAGGAAGAGCAGGAGCAGGCCGAACTCGCGCGTACAGCGGCGGGCAGTCAGCCCCAGAGTCTGCAGGCCCAGGGAATGGCGAGCCAGCCGCATCACATAAAAGATGCGCAGAGCTCGTAGCACGCGCAGCACAAGGCCCACTTTGTCCAAGTAGCTGCTGCCCGAGCTGGGGCGCCTCTCGCCCTTGGAGGTGGTGTCCACAAGCAGCGTAATGTAGTAGGGCAGGATGGCGAGCACGTCGATGAGGTTGAGGGGTTGTCGCAGGAAGGTCAGCTTGGAGCGGTCCTGGATGAAACGCAGGGAGAACTCCAGGGAGAACCAGGCCACGCACACCGTCTCCACGATAAAGATGTTGTAGCACATCTGGGAACATGTGCCCTGTTCAAAGATAGAAGCCGCAACTGTTGCTTAGTAACCATCAGGGGGGATACCGCATTGTTAAAGTTACAATGGTGAGCCTTCATCGAGTTTTATATTACAATTAAGACAAATGAGGAATAATTTTACTAGGTAGTTCACATGACAAACCATTATACAGACAATATCAAAAAGTCCATACACCCTCTTGAAACGGCAGATTATAAAAAAAAAAAAAAAGACATCTTGATCAATTAAAAACTATTTCCACCACTTATGTCACCTGTAATCGGTTTAACATAAGTGATTTTTTTTCAAAAAGGGGGAATTGCACAACTGCGCACAACCTCTTATAACAGGGGATGCGTTCAGAAATAGCCAATCACATTCAAACTCATGCATCTGAATCACACCAAACAGAAGTCAGATGTTCTGGTCGGCTTCTCCTGACCTTTCCAGCAAGAGCCTGCAGGTGTCGTTGTAATTCCATTTTATTTTAATTTGATTTTCTACCTGCCCTTGCTAAAAGACTGATCTCATGTTTTTTTTCTCATTTTACAAAAGCCTCACATTTGAACAGGGGGTGTGTAGACTTTTTATGCCTACTGGAGCTTACATTCATTTTCGTTGTGTTGATTGTGTTACCAAAAATGGATGGACTTCTTTTTTCTTAATTTTATCAATAATTTTGGTGATGAGTGGCCCTTTTTTTTTTTTAAATTAAGCACCTGCAATACCTGTGCTGGTGCCTGCCAGCCAATGTCTTGGCACAGTCCTTTATGCTGACACTTTAAACTATGGACAATTTATTCACTTCAAACCAACCTAATATGTTTTAGGCATGTGGGAGGAAGATGTAAGTGCTAGAAGAAAAGTCACGCAAAAATGGGGAGAACATACAAATTCCAGAGAGGAAGACCAGAGCTCAGATTTGAACCCTAAAACTTGGACCACTGAGGCAGACATGCTAACCAGGATACCACTGTGTTGCCCAGTTTTTAGACAAAAAAAAAAAAAAAATCACAGACAAACCTCAGTAAAATTACCAACAGGGAGCTGATATCAAAACATTGGGGCAGATGGTTCTTGGACTTAGCCAATCCACTACAGTACTGAATACTGCACTGTACACCGGTGTGGGCAAAATCGTGCCATGCTTCCAAAATAGATGCAGAGCTGATATCATATAAGTAGCATTCCGACTTCACACATTAACTCAAAACAATCATCAAAGTTGAACGGCACAAACACCTGAATGATCACAGACACACAAAAGTCCCTCAGTAGAATGCGGGAGTCCCCACGTGGGAGCGCTCTCAAGCACACCCTCCAAGGATCCCAAAAAGGATGGGCACTCAAACAACGGCGGACGGAGGCTACCCTGTCATGCCATGGGGTGATCCCCAATGTACGGGCACTGAGTCGGTGCGCAATTAGCATGCCCACACCTGCTTGACACCTCTCACTGTGGGAAACTCCAGAGTGGAAGAGAGGCCAACCACTCTCAAGAGGAATGGTATCAGAGTCCAAGCTGCGTGTGGAGGCGAATCTGACTATACTATGTCTATTTGTAGCTTCTCAACCTCACACACGAGCTCGGGCGCCTTACCTGCCAGAAAGGTGACATTCCAAGTCCCGAGAGCTGGCTTGTGTAGCCGTGGTTCAGACCACCAAGGTCCCAACCTTCGGCGGCCACCCAGCTCTCTTTGCACCAGACCCCCTAATCCCCTCCTACAAGTGGTGAGCCCAGGAAAGGGGGGGCCATGTTAACTCTTTGGGCTGTGACTGGCCTGCGTCCTATGGTTGCAGGCCCAGCCACCTGGCGCTTGCCAAGAAGTGCCAGCCCCAGGCCCGGCTCCAGAGGGGGCCCCCGCTGACCCGTGTCCGGGCGAGGGAAAACGATATCCATTAATTTTATTCATCGTGGTTTTGTTTTTTTTAGCCGTGGTTTGTCTGGTTCCTCACCAAGGACTTAGACCCTGGGGCACACAGACCCCTCCACCACGATAAGGTGACAGCTCATGGAAGGGGTATAAGCATACTCTGAAAGTGAATTATTTGGAGGATACTCACCGCCTCCTCCTCCTGCCTTAGGGCAGGCATGGTGCTGATGGAGAGATTGACAGCGGTGATGGTGACGAACAACACCGATAAACAAGCAAAGATTTTCCCGGGGAGTCCAGAATGTGGTCGCTCCACCATGTCCCTCAGTTTGGCCATGAAGCAGCTCAAGCAGGACTCCGCGGTGCGAACC